CAAGACGTATTATCTTTACGCACTTAATTCCCAATACATTTACTAACAGGGTTTGGGGTGAAACCCTAAATCCTCAAACCCCACCGTAAGCCCTGGCCCTAATCCCGAAACCCTAAACCCAAACCCTAAAGCCCTAGCATGGCACCATTGCTTCAGGAGGAGGGGCTGAGTCTGTCAGCAGCTCAGAGGGTTGTGTTGTGTTGTTACTTTCGCACTCAGCCCTAAGATCCCAATGCAAAAGCTTTTTTAGCTTTGACCCCCTCCGAAGCTTCAGCGCTCAGGCACGTGCAATGCCGGGATTTTGGGAAGATGGCATGTCCAAAAGTTGAGCGGTGGCCGGGGCACCCGAAAAAGGGGTGGTTGTTCTCGAAACATCATGGGGTTGTCATTGTGCAACCAGACTCTGTAGGTGCCTTGGGGGCTTGGTTTCGAGGTTTCGTGGCTTGTTGTGGTCGTGCCAAGCCTAGGCGAGGTTTTGGGGAACAAGGTTCAGGCTTGACCAATCTTTAGAAGCATAGCCGGAACGGCTCAGAAGTATGGGTTGAAAGTTCCGGAGTGAGGGGACCTGACTCGTGGAATGCTGGATGTAATCATGCAAGGGCAAAACTCGTTAAGTTGCCTCTCTTGCGGACCGATGCGAACATTGCGGAGGCAAGGAGATGATCAAGATAATTGTTGAATCGCAGCCATACTCTAAACGCTAAGCTTCGCGAAGCAAAATCCTGGCAAGAAGGAAGGCAACTATCTTTCGTGTCATCTATCTTGGTGACTCCTCCGTTTGCCTGGCATGTTCTTTCGTGGCGTGTTCTCGGAGTTTCGAAGCTGCGTGGAACATCCAAACTTCAGCTTCCTCAGGTTAGCCGAGAGCAGCGGCGTGCCACTTCAAAAGGTTTTCAAGCTGCCGAATTGGAACTATGCTGCTTGGCGTGACGATTTTGGAAAGGCTCCGCACCCGCTGCTCGTGCCAAGACATGCTCCTCCTGCTGCTTCTCCGGTCACTCCTCCTGCTCTTGGTCACCCATTTATCCGAACTATGGTCATCACAGCAGCGCAAAACCCGCAACTGCAGCGCATCATGCAGGCGATCCGTCGCCATGACCAACACTTCGTACTGAGGCTATCGAGAAAAGCGAGTGATGGAAGGCCGGCGTTTTCGCCTTCGGAGGAACAAAGAAAAACTAGAATAAGAACAGAAAGTCAACACACTATCTTCGTGCCAGCAAGCGTAAGCAGAACCCCTTGTTGTCCACATCTGCCCTGTGCAGAGCGAGTTGGTCCTTTCCCAGGCTTTCGTGACTATCCTGCCAGAGCACGAGAAGAAGTTCCGTGAGGCAAAAGTCGCGTGTTCCGCCAGCAGTACAAAACACTTCACAGAGCCAAGTCAACTTCAAAGGCGTCTGACGCAGCGCCATGGCCAGGCCGTGGATGGCTTGCTCCTCTTCAAGTGCTGCGTCTCGGTAAACGTCCGCAACCTCAGCCGGAGCGGCCCAGCGCCGTAGGTCCTCGTAGGGACGCTCAAGTGCTAAAGCCAGATTTCTCATCAAAAAATCCCAGGAGGGAGCTCCACGGAAGAGCCAGCCGAAGAGCGATGAGGCACACTCCGATTTTTTTTTCAGCCTTGGAGCCTTCATTTTTTGAGCATGGAAACACCTGACCAGGAGCGCCCGGCCAAGCGGCAGAAGGTCGAGGACCAAGGTCTTGTAGCGGCGTAGCGCTTCGGGTTTTCTGGGCCTTTTCGGCCCTTTTCGGCTCTGACTGGGAATGTCCGTGTCGTCAAGGTCAAAGAGGTCAAAGAATTCCGGCCTCGATCCCAGCTTCTTAAAGAGACAGAGTGCGCGATGGGAACAGACCCGCCTTCTTTGCAGTTGCCGGGTTCCCTTTTTTTTTCGGTCACGGCTCAGTTCTGCTCCTTCTCTGCCTACTGCTATCAAGCTGGTGCCAAGCTCTGTCGCTCCCGTTTGCTACTTCAGGCCTGGGTTCGTTCCCACCCTGAAAGACCTGACGGCGAAGCTGAAAAACAAAGGCACAAGGGATGCTGGGCAGTAGACGAGGGTGGGCGCAAAGAAGGGTACTTTTTGAAGGTGGCCAGTCGACGCATGGCAGTCCTAGAAAGGATCCTCTGAACATCTTCGTTTGTCGGGCTAAGCTGAACCCGGTAACCCCCCTCCCAAACTCCCAATGCCTCGACCCCAATTCTGGGTACAATTTCACAGTTGTGTTATAATACAACCCAATAAGCATTAGAGATGATCATTTTGAATTTATCCCCAACAAGGAACCAGATTTCCTAAATCCGAAGCTTGGAAATCCTTTTCTCGCAGCGCAGATCCTGGCGACGTGCTTCGGAAGAGTGCCGGAGAGCCTGGCGGTATGGCGACTGTCATAGCAACTTTAGGCTTTATCCTTGTTGCAATCCACAGCCATTTGAATGGCAGTGGAAAGCAGGATCACATTTATGAGCGATTCTACATCGTACTAGCGTTTTGAATTTGCACTAGTAGCAGATTTCAATCATTAGCTATCAGTTACCAGTGTTTTTCTTCCACTCCTTTGTGAAGCTGACGAAAGTTATCATGCGCATCATGATAGTTCCTCTTGTTGTTTCTCGCGTTGTTCTGCTTGCCGTTGGTATATTTCTTCTGTCGATTGTCGGACATCCTGTTGTGCCGTTTTTGCATTGTCATTTCGACTTGCTTGCTGTTCTTGTTTCGTTTTAGGCACCGTTTCATCATTCGTATCTGCACTGGTGTTGCAGAGAATCCTGTTGCCGAGGCTCCTCTCATAGACTGGAGCTACGAGACGCAGCTCAGCCTTGATCTCAGGGACTGTGTCCTGCGAAACAGACACTGAACATACGAGTAGTATCATAAGTGACTAGGGATCGTTGTCATAATGGCCGGGAGAGAGGTTACGCAATGACCACAAGGCGAATTCTCGTATTGATCAGGACAACAACAGATATGATGCAACGAGTCAAGCTGGGCAATGACAATCAAACGAAGTCCGACGTACAGATTGTGCGTCTTCCCGAGGCATGAAAGGCACTCACATCAAGACGGCTGCAAGAGCCTGAGCTTCGGGTAAATCGAATTTTCTGCCACCTGCAGCTCTTCTTGAGTGCAGGTGCGGTCCTTCACGAAGCAGGTGGACAAGAAGTGCAAGGCCAACGACCTCCCTAAACCCTAAACCCTAAACCCCGTACCCTAGACCCTAAACCCAGTACTTTGGGAAATCTTAGTGTAGAGTGCCCTTAAGCTGCAGTCTCCCCTCGGATCAATCAGGAAAACGCTGTTGCTGCAGCCTGGAGCCATGAATTTTCAGGGTTTTGGGGTTGAGGGTTTAGGGTTTAGTTTCAAGACCTCCTGTTACGTGCAGTTGCGCTGGGAGTGGTGGCGGTGCGGATTTTAAGGGCCTTTCATTGAGCTGTGCCCTCACCCGGAATCCTTAGAGCGGTGTGTATTAGCACGGTGTGTATGTTTCTGCAGAAGCTCAGAAGCTCTTTGGAGGACCTCAGCCTCACGGCCCCGCCCTGGACCAGCTTCGAGTGGTCGAAGGCTTCGCTGCAGAAACCACTAAACCCACGAAGTTTTTTCGAACACCCCATCGACGAGAGAGATCTTCAGACTTCTGAGCGGAGAGAGCCCCAAAAAGAGCCCTAACACGATTAACTTACCTTTGGTTAGTAGGGCATGGAGGAATGGGAACTATTATAAGTACCACTACTACCATTCTTCCATTCCCTACTAACCAAAGGTAGATTAAATGGCGCCGAAAACCCCCCTAAACCCTAAACCCTAAACCATATAAGCCCTAAACCCTAAACCCAAAAAGCCCCAAAACACGGCTCTAATGGCCGCTTTTGGAGCGGAGCGGAGAGAGCCCAGTGCCTGGCCTTGTCCTTTTCGCCAGGCCAGTGCAGCCGGGAGCTTACTGACTGTGGGCACTTTAAAGGGCAGTTTCAAAGAAGGGGCATTTCGGCGCAAAAGGCATTATAATACCATAATACTATAATATATATATATATATATATATATATATAAAATTCTAATACTATAATACACATGACGCCCCCCCGAGGCGCCGATTGGCTGCGCCTGTCCGTTGGACCCTCCCATCGGCACTCCAGCAGAAAGCGGGGGGCCTTAGCCTCGCTTAGCACTTAGCCAACGACCAAGCCAACTCTTTGCTTCGGAGGTCTGGAGGGTTACAGGAACAAGTGCGAGTTCAGCATCGGCCGGGAGCCAAGCGCCCCCCCTCCCAAACGTGCGCCCCGACCTTTTTCGACGCCGCGTCGCTCGGAGGCAAGAGCGAGGAGGGCGACATCGAGTGCGGCTTCGTGCGTCGGATCACGGATGACGGCTACGGGTGGGCCCTCCGTCAAGCGCTAAGCACATAGGGCTGTGCTGCTGTGCTCGTGGCCGACAGAGGCGCATCGTAGCCAGCTGCGAGGAAGTGCCCTGACCTCGGGTGATCTCTTGCCACGCGTGAGCGTAACTTCAGGCAGCACACGTACCGCTCACAAATATACCTTCAGGCACAGGAACAAGTGACCGCCGATGCAACGATGAATCTGGTTCTAGTTCGGGGTTTCCTGTGGCTTCGCAAGGGCCAGGCCTCTGACGCCCACGAAGTTTAGACTCGTTTGGACCGTGTAAACTCCTGTCCCGACAAGCACTCGCTGCCACCCTTGAGGCCTTCTCCCGAACCAAGTTGGGGCAGCTGATGCCCCAGCGTTTCAAGAACTGATTGCCGCCACCGCAGCATTTTTGGCTGACACACTACAACTTCAGGAGCGAGGTTGAACCGCACGAGATGATGCGATGCACTTCCCATGTCGTAGCGAGCTTCGTAATTCTAACTAGGCATTTGCACCACATTGGGTGCCGGAAACGGCGATCCTCAAAAACCGTAATTCCTAAGCCCGATAGAAACTCCCACTCAGAGGGCAACCCGAAATCCTCAGAGCTGATCGCAGAAGGATATGGTGCACTGACCGAGCCATGGGTCCCTTGGCCCGGAAGGAAGCGGGAAACCAGTTCTGCAAGGCCCCCCTTCTTCTTTGTGGCGTAAAGTCTCGGCCTTTTTTTTGTTGTTGTGAGGTTTGGAGCGTTTGGGGGGTAGAAGCTCTCTCTAACCTGAGAGGAGGGGAAGTGGCACGAAGCCGCAGAGGAGTGGCTGGCTGAGCTTCCGAAGGAGAGCGAGGTCGTGGGGGGGGTTGTAATAGGCCCCTGCTGTCCTCAGGTACACCAAAGGCCTCGACGAGTGCGATGAGAACTTCCCACCAGATCAGAGAGGGTCGGGACCAGAAGTTTGGGGTCAAGTGTGAGCAAGTTCTGAATCATGGTTAAGTCGGGTGGGCCGATCCCCCTCGTGAATGGGAAGTGCCGAGCTGTGTCTGTGGAGCTGTGCCCCAGGCTTCTTCTGGCGAACCGGAGCCAGTGCTGGCTCAAGCTGAGCAGCTTGCCTTGACGAGACCCGGGGCCCTACTGGAGGGACGAAAGGATCCACGCCACAAGGGAAGTTTCTGTCGTTGAGGTGACTTCCAGAAAGGGCTGGACGATGCCAACGCCTGTCTGGAGTTGCTGCCGGAGCATGTGAAGTCACCTGGCAGCATCCCTCTGAAGCTCTTCCCTCAACAAAGCCAAGCTGCCAGTAGAGCTTCCTTGAGGCCTTTTTTACTTATAGTGATTCTATTTATTTTTCCTTGGTTTTGGGTGCGTGCTCGGTCTCTCGGCTTTTGCTCGGCCTCTCGACTTCCTTTCGCCTCGTGGCTTGGAGCATACTGGCGTCCTTGGCTTCTTGGCTTTTCGGCCTCTGGACTCGCTGGTTTAGCAGCCCTGAGGCTTTCCGGGCTTCGTTGCATCCTGGCTTCTTGATTTCTCTGATTTCTTGCATTCCTTGGCGTCTGGGCTCGTCGGCTTCTTGGGCTGAGGCTTTTGGGCTCAGTGATTCCCTTCTTGGCTTCTCTGTGTTCTTGCGGATTAAGGTTAAAATTACGAATTCAAGGCTCAGGGCGGTCAAGATACTTGCTTTTATCTTTTTTGCTAATTTGCAGCCTTTCTACGATCTCAATACACAGCCCTTGAACAAGATTGTTTGATGATCTCCGGCTTTGGGAATCTCTTTATGTCCATAGGAGACCTTTATTTTCGAGATGCTTTCATAGGAACAACTGAAAGGAAGAAGTAACGACATACATAAATATGGAAAGAGTTGGGAGGGCAAGCCGTGCAAGCTTGCTTCAATGCATCATGAGCTTTTTCCGAAACCCATCATGGGAGCATTGCGTAGCCCGACCGCTTGTTTTAGCCGCGCAAGCTTGCTTCAAAGCATGTGAGTGCTTTTTGGATCCTGTCATGCGAGCATTCTGTTTGCACATGGGGGGGCTGCACCGAATGAGGGGGCGTTTTGTAGATATATGAGGAACTGGAATCGCCAATGAGGGGGCGTGTTCAAGGTATATGAGGGATCGGAATCGCCAACGCAAGGGGCGTGTTGAAGATATATGAGGAACCGGAACCGCCAAATGAGGGGGTGTTGTAGATGTATGATGAACCGGAATCGCCAAATGAGGCGGCGTGTTTAAACTACGTGTGTTTAAGATATATGACGAAAACGGAATCACTTATGAGGGGGCTTGCTGTAGTTTTATGATGAACCGGACTCGCCAAATGAGGCGGCGTGTTTTAGATAGATGATGAACCGGAATCGCCACATGAGGGGGCGTGTTGTAGATCGGAAACGTCGAATGAGGGGACGTGTTGTGGATATATGATGAACCGGAACCGCCCAATGAGTCGGTGTTTAAGATATATGATGAACCGGAATCGCAAAATGAGGGGGCGTGTTGAAAATACATGTGTTTAACATACATGAT